TTAAAGTGACAGAAACGTCTCAAATCATGTATTGGTAAATCGTAGCTGTATCAGGCTGTGCTGGGGATTTTAGTTCTTGCAGGGATGTACTGTCTGAGTGCTTCAAGGATGAAAGGTGAATCCAAGGACTGCTTGCTTAAAAATATTACATTAACTTAGCAATAAAGTAGTAAGAGCTTCTAAAATGTACTGTTCTGGTTTTGAACCACAGCAGCTTAAGAAAGTAGCTCATAGAAAAAGGCTAGTAGGAGCTTTTTATTTCCCCTGGGCCACAAAACACTACAAAATACAATCTCAACACAACCAGTTTTGATTAAGCAACTCTGTCCCCATGTATTTCTGAAAAGAAAGGCTGTGTCAAGTGTTGACTACTGTCACTCTTCGTACATGTGAGATTGTATTTCATGGCACTTTTCTATTGTGGGCAGAAGCTGGGTCCTACTGTAGTCAAAATTAAAAGAGAATAGCAGCCCAAATTGAAAGAGAAGAGAGTTAGGTTTCTGAAATTTACTTCTGGTGCAATGCAGTTGAGCCTGTCACTTATATTACAGTTGGTAGCAGTGTGCTTGAAGTTCACATTCTGGGACTCACAGAAATCTCATGTTTATTAAAGAAAAAAGGGGGAAATTGCCAGTTCTTGTGGTTGTAAAGAGAAAAGAATATTCACAGTGTGTTGTAATTTTTAAGGAAATGCTATGATCTGTGCAGGGGCATTTTGCCCTCCAGCAGTTCTGTCCCAGCCCGGGCAGCAGAGCTGAGCTTAGCCAGCAGAGCCCCCGCTCGGGAAAGTGGCTGGAGACCTGTTTGGAAAAGGTGGACCCTACTGTTTGTGACTGAATAACCTCCACAAAGGAAATGTAACACTTTGGCAATAGTTCTATTTTGACATTTATTTTTCGGAAAGTCCAGCTGGGGTGTCTGCACCAATGCAGGAGGGCTCATCATTCGCACAGACTTACCCTGCTGATGACAGCTTAATAAGGTTCTTCTTTTTGTGTTTTCATTCAGTAAGCTTGTTGGCTTTTGTGTAGAGGCTGACCTCTGCTTTTGCCCTCCCCTGCTGCCCCAGCTCCTCTGAAAGGGGCACCTCTGTCCCCATAATTTGTAGTAAAAGGGAATTGTAAAGGGAGGTGAACTGGCCGGCTGTAGGGACACGGGCTCCTACAATGCAATGTAACTTTCACAGGGCTGAACCTGTATGCCCAGTGTACCTAAAAACTGTTGGGAGTCAGTGGGGATTTTGGGTGCAGAAAGACTAATGCAGGACTGAGCCTTTATGAACAAGAAAATCCAAACAGCAAGGGAATAAATTTGGTGAAGGGGCTGCTCGAAAGAAATGAATTACAGCACATGATGTGAGAACAGGTCAACATTTCATATCTGGCATACATTTTTCTAAACAGACAGAAAGGCATCCCAGTATCGTGACTGTTTGCTATTAGATTCTACACAAAAATATATTGGGGTGGCATTTAAATGCAGTGACTCGAGATAGCAAAAAGATGTGGGATTGTATTTCTTTCCATTCATTTAATTGGAACCATACTGAAAAAGCGTATGAAAACCATCACTCTTCAATATGTCTGAAGTGTAGCTTTGTGACGCTGAAAATGATGTCCAACCTAATAGAATTTCAGATAGAGGAGATATTTTGGCTCATCTTTTGCTTCCAGCTATATTCAGTTTCCCCGTGTGGTTATTTTTCTTGTTATTATATGCACCAGCTATCTGCTTCTTACTTCACTGTCTGGGAATACAAACCATTCTGTCTCATTTCTGACCTTAAAATGGATTGGACAAAAACAAAAGGAAGTTAAAAAAATGTTTTGGGTAGTACCCTTGTACTTGTTGTGTTGTGTAAGTCAGCTTTTTAAATGGAAGGCCTCAGTATTGCTGCCTGGGAATATTTTGCATCCAAATATATTCTGTACTTTGTGCCATCTGTGTGCTGGGTGGTGGTTCATCAGCAGGGGATGAATGTAACCATTTCAGATGCTTAACTGGCTGTTGGGACTTGCCCAGTTTGTAATCATGGTAATTGCCCATACAAATATGGCCATGTAATTACATGTGCATTTTTGCATTTAGTTTCAGGAGTTCATTTGGAAAAGTATAAATGCGGCCCAATAAATCCTTCCTATCTCAGACTTCTGTGCTTTTATAACTCTTTATAATTATGTAGTAACACTGTATCTGGAGAGGTTTCATTTAAGTAAAATCAATAAAGAGCTCAGGTTAGTTTATAGATGTAGTCAGATACTTGGGCAGTGAAGACTTTTGCCAAGGTACAAACTGGACACTAAAATGAAATAATTGTGGGCAAAATTCCACCTGAGAGCAAACCTAACTTGTTATTACTATTGACATTCATGGATATAATTGACAAAAATAGGCACTGTAATGAATTTCTACTCCTGTGATCACATGCACATAAAGAGATAGTGAGACTCATTTCTCAATATTTTTAGTGTAAATATATATATGTATTATGTTTGTATAATCAAAAGAAATGGATAATGGTTGTTTGTCTTCTGTGTTTCTATTCCCAGAGTTGTTTTCACAAATATTGGCAATGTCTGATGGATATTGATACCTTTTTTGTATTCAGTGTTACTGTGAACCAACAGTTACTGCGATACTGTCATTTCCCAGTCTGGATTGCTTGCTAATTTCCCTTATGGCTTTTTTCCCAGTGGATAGTATTACTGTGCTAAAGACAAGAACTGAATTCTGCGGATGATACAGAAACAGATGCTAGATTTTGACACTCAAAAGTGAGAGTTTTCAAATTTACCAAGCTTCAGCCCATCTCCTTAGTGTGCCCACACACAGGAGGGGTGGGAAGAAGCTGGTAAGGACTGCAGAATCCAACCTTCCCTGAGAAAATAATATATATTGTAGCAAATATTTTCATTTAAATCAGCTTTTGGTTTGCTTTAACAGTTGTGCTGGTGTGATCCTCTAAGATTTAACTCCTGGCAATAAACTGCACAAAAGTGGTGCCACGGATGATAAGGAACAAGCCCAAGTGTGGTCTGAGTGGCTCTAGATGGAGAAATTATTGCTGTTAATATCTTTGTCATGGTTGTGGCAGTAAAGACAAATGTCCGTTTTCCTACTTGAAATGTTCATGTTGGCATCTATCACAAATCCTCTTTTTGGCTTGTTTTAAAATAAAATATTTTAGCTCCTTTTTTTTGTTTAGGTTAATGTCCATGTTTAAGCAGCTGTTTTGCAATACAGTGCCATTTTTACACCAAAAAGAAAAATTGTTTACTTCTTTTACATTTTTTGGCACCCTTTTTTCCTTTAAATGTAGACAGCTACAGTCAAAACTAGCAGCATGGCTCATAACAAATCCCATATTTGCTGACTTTAGCCTGGTCTTTGCTTTTCTGCCTGGGGAGGTCACAAGCTCTAAGAATGTGCTGGGTGCTGGAATCTGCTCACAGGGGCTGTGTGCAGCCTCAGCCGCTCCCTCCAGCCATGGCACTCTGCTTTGAGATCCCAAATTTTCTGATTCGGGATTAGTTCCTGTCCTGGCTGCCTGAGCCTGGCTTCCTCTGTAGTGCCCTCAGCACTGAGGAGCCCCCTGTCATCTTCCCTGAGCTTTTTAAAACTGAAAGAGGTCTGAAAAATCAAATTTCTCAAGGCAGGGCAGCAGAGGAGTAGCAACAGGGCATTTTTTTCAATGCTGCATTTTCACATCAAACCTTTTACTGTATGTTTTATTTGACTGGGGGCAGAGATTACATTTAATTTTATTTCATGTGCATGCTGTTCTGGCTGGAAAGTTGTGATCAGATCTTATCTGGCTCATTTAATATCTTCTCTGCCAGGGCTTGGCAGGGAGTTCATAAAAGCCTGTCCCCCAGCCTGTCAGACATTGTCCCGCTCCATATAAAGCAAGACAGTCTCTCCTCCACAGTCTTTAAATAATCTTCTAGTGCAATTATTTGTGCAAGTGGAAATCATTCAAAAATCCTTGGAAAGTAAATAAAAGAAGAAGCTGAAGCATGGCTGAAATTGCCATTTAAATGCTTTTAAATTGTAGAAGCAGATTTAATTGTGGCAGATGGTATTTTGGAATATTTGCCCTGCTTTAATGATAATTTACACAGAAGTTCATCAGGTATAGTGAGAGGCAATTTCTGACTGGCAAAAGATAAACGTTTTCAAGGTGATGTGTCATTGAAGTACACATTGCCACTCAAGGCCCAAACAGTAAAATGTAATTTCAACTGTTTACAGTATTTTTTAAGTATAAAGTCAGTATTATTTAGCCAGGTATTGTGTAGGTTAAATTACCTCTCCTCAGATAGTTTTGTGTTTCTGCATTCATAGCTATGTTAAATTATTATTATTCTTGTTTTTTGACATACATTTGTCAGGGGTTGACCCTATCCGGATGCAAGCCATTCTCTCACTCCCCTCCTCAGCTGGAGAGGAGAGAGAATGTATTTTAAAAGGCTCGTGGATTGAGTTAAGGAGAGGGAGAAATCATTCAGTAATTAATGTCATGGGTGAAATACTTGACTTAGGGAAAAAATAATTTAGCTTATCAAATCGTAGTAGGGTAATAAAAGATAAAACCAAATCTTAAAAACATGTTCTACCCACTCCTCCCTTCTTCCTGGGCTCTGCTTCCCTCCTGATTTCCCTGCCTCCTTTCCTGAGCAGTTCAGGGGAGTGGAATGAGGGCTGTGGTCAGTTAACCATAGGCTGTTTCTGTGGCTCTTTGCTCCTCAGGACAGGACTCCTGAGAGTCATCCCCTGCTCCAGCGTGGGTCCCTCCCAGGGGGGACACTCCTCCATGAACACCTCTGGTGTTGAGACCTTCCCACAGGTTGCAGTTCTTCATAAGCTAGTCCAGGGTGGGTTGGATGTAGCCCACTGGATGCAGTCCCTCAGCCTGTGCTCCCTGCAGGGTGACCAATCCTGCCAGGAGCACTGCCCACAGCCTCCTCTGGGAATCCTCCTGCCGAGGTGCACTGCACTGATGTTGGTTGTGTTGTTTTCAGCTCTATGGCTATTGCTACCAAGACAGCAATGACATCCCAGACACACTGACCACCATCACTGAACTGGGCTCGCCTTTGGAGATGATTCAGCTTTTACAGACTTCCTGGGAAGACAGATTTCGGGTGAGTAACAGCTGTTTTATAAGGATCTTTAGAAGAGCGAAAAATAAATAATATTATTAAGCAGAACTTGTGTACTCTTCAGCACAATTCACATTTATTAAATGTTTGTTTTGCATAGGATTACATCTTGGTTTAGAAGCAGTATTCAGCACTCCCCTTCTGTAGTTTTTAAGACACTGTGTTATTTTGTCTGTCAGTATTATCTAATTGTAACCAGTTATATGGTTTTTGAATGATATCTCAAAACATTTCTTACTTGTTAAAGCTTGGGGCCCAGGAGTTTTGGCATTGTGCTCTGCAACTGGGATTTAAACAATAGAAGAATGTTACATTTCTCTCCTGATCCTTATCATAGGTTTGTTTTATAATTGTTTTCTACTGCTTCCTGCTCTGTTCATTTTTTTCCTGGGGGAAGAGTGAAATAAACGTACACAAATCTCAAACCCAGTTTGTCCAGCGCACTGGCAATTTACCAGGAGCTCGAAGGTCACACTTAATTTGTCCAAAATGAAGCCAGACTGCAGCAATGCTTTGATCAAGACAGCTGTCTGGCTTGGTGTGTGTGGGGATGTGTCGTTGTCTGAGGTTCACTCCCTAGGACGTTGAAAGGCAGCAGAGTCTCCATCTGACACACTTTGGATTGCTTGGTTACGTTTGTGCTAGAAAATTAAAAGAGTGCCTGAGTGAGCTCCGGGTGGAAAGAGCAAGGTGCAGCCCACGGCTGTGCTGTTGCATTCCTGCCCTCTCTGCAGGCTGTGAGCAGGATTGGAACCTGCTGGAAATGGTCCCTGGGCCATGCTGCTGTCTGGATCCTGCCTGGGGACAGTGTAGGAGAACAGCCTCGGTGCTGGTCAGACCTCGCCAGAGACCATGCTAGCCAGTGTGCATGGGGGATTAAGTTCCTGTGCCCAGGAATGTTCCCTGGCAGAGTTTATTTTACTCATACTGGAGTATGAGTACTCAGCTGGAGCAAGTTGTGTTGCCTGCACTAAGCTGCAGCTCCCTTTTCCTGAGAGAATCGTGGTCTTGATAAGCAGCAGAGGTACTCAGCAAGGTTCCCAAAACACAGGACCACCTGCCTTTAGCTCATCTCATCCAGGGAATGCAAATAATGGACTGTGATAGCAATTATGTACAAAATAAATGACCAAGAGATTATGGGTAATAAAAAGAGAAGTTTCTTTCCAGTGTGGCTATTTCTGAGTGAGCAGTTGCAGAGGAAGATAAAGGAGAATTAGATGAAAACCTTCACAGAGGTAGAATTACAGGTGAAACATTCCTGTGGCCACTGTAATGAAGTCCTAAATAATGTCATGCTCATTCCTTTGTCTTGGATGCAACTAATACAGAAAGGAAGGAAATAAAATTGTCTTCTTGATATGTGAGACCTGTTTGTGGTCCAGTCCTGAAAATGACTGCATAAATCCATGAGGTCATTCCTACAATTGACAATTTCCTTGTGTGGATGGGCTGAGCAGTAAGCTGAGTAATCCATAGGTGTGTGACACAGAGCAAAGCCTTCACCTGTGTGCTTAAAGCTTGTTGTGAGGGGGCATTTGCAGTCCCAGCCTGCAGCAGGTCTGCACAGCAGAGCCTCTTGGGGTTGGGCACAGAGGTTGCTGGTGTGGGAACAGGGGGCTTTTTGACATTTGAGAAAAGGCAATAATTTTGGGTGACAACCTGTGGGTTTGCTCAACCTAAATTCTGGGTTTGTTGGCATTTGAAGATACCTATATTATAGGTTGGCTTGGGCTGGATGGGCTTTTTCTCTACAGTGTGTTGCAGGATAACACAGACATGAGTTCTGTGTCCTTCCAAGGGGAGGTAAAGGGTGGTCAAGTTTAGCATCCCATAATTACATTTGGATGCACCTACAAGCACCTCCATATGAACTATGGTATTCTGCAAGTAGGAGAAAAATGTTCTTGTCTGGTCAGGAGAAGGATTAGGTAGAAGAGTGAGATGGTTCTAATGTCCCACAGGTGAAGGGTCTGAGGGATAACTTCAGCTGTGCTCAGCTTTCTTACCAAGGATATGTTGAGGTGCACCCTTGAGTGTAATGTTTAAGCTCCTAGACTGAATTTGAGTTTGACTACTTCAATGCACATGCCCATAACATTGTCTTTTAATAGAAAACAAAGAATATATACAGAAAGTAAAAAGCCTGCTAAACTGAATATGACCTGTTATTTATTTAATACATAAAATAAAAATTCCAGTATTTAACTGTGTTCATGTTACTGCTACCTTTGAATTAATAGGTTACATAGTGGACTCTAAAGGAATGCATGAATTGAAAACAGGACTTTGGTAAGGAGGCTGAATTCAATGTTCATCAGGGCTGCTGCTTAGTAAGAGTTACTCAAGTTTCTAATCTGTAGTGGAAAAGTGAAACATCAGCACAGAGCTCCCGCCTCAGCCTCAATGTGCTGCAAGAGAGTCCACCACAGCAGACCCATCAAGGCAGAGAGACATATACACTTAACCTGAGGCATGGTGCAGGGTTACACTGGACCTATGGAGCTCCTCTTCCTGGGAATTTGCTTCCTTCTCCCCTGGAAAAAGGAAAAAAACAGAGGAAACCGTGGAAAAAAATTATAAAAACAGTCAAGAGGCAGGATCAGTATAGAGGCAATACAGACACTGTCTGCAGTTGGAGCTCCAGGCATGGGTGCAGGGCAATCCAGCCAAAATTTCCAGACCTGGAGTTTATAAAAGAGCAGGATCAGACTCTGTGGTCAATGCCTGTGCATAAAGTGTTATTAAAAGTTAATGCTTTTATTTCTGGTAAAAGTAAGAATAGCAACAATAAACTCTGCCTCAAGAATAGTGTGGGAAAGCACTTGTAAAGAAGCTTATTTTTGTTTCAAGTCTCTCAGGGTTTTACAATCAGCTATGCTAATCCTGTGAAAAATACCTTGGTTGCAACATTTGGTTTTGAGGGTAAGTTATAATGCTTATATTCAGTCATAAATTTATAAGCATATCTTCAGCTAAAGTGATTTTGTTGTACACTTTGCACTGAGAAAACAATGTAAGGAACCCATGTTTTTGTGTTTCAGATCTGTCTCAGCTTAGTTCGACTTCTGCATTACTTGGCTCACTCTCCTCTTGGCTCAGTGACATTACTGGATTTTCGCCCTCGGCAGTTTGTGATCGTGGATGGGGAGCTGAAGGTGACAGATCTGGATGATGCCAGTGTTGAGGAGAGCTCTTGCACCAGTAACAGTGACTGCTTCATGGAATTCCCTGCGAGAAACTTTACCCTGCCCTGCTCGGTTGAGGGACGGTGTCAAAGCATGAATGAAAAGAGGAATCTCTACAATGCCTACAGGTCTGTGGTCAGATAAAGCCATATAGAGTTAAGGATGGGCCTAGAGCTCCAGCATCCTTTACAGTTATTCACATCAATGAGCACGTGCTGTCTCAGAACCAGTGCTCAGGAGTAAGTGAAGGCATGAATATATGTTTCATTTGTGAAAATACATGGCATTTATAACGTTTGAAATATTTTGCATACTCTGAGTGTGATTCACCACTCAGTCTAATTCTGTGTTGGTTGAAGCCCACTGAATTCTTCTCAAGCAGAGATTTTCATAGGAGTGAAGCATAAGCACTTTTGGAGCTTGGGGCTCACAAGCTCTGTGGTGCGACAATTGCAGCGGCTCTTTGGTGTGAGTTGAGGGGTCATCACAAGTTTTGCACCACCAGCTGAGCAAAGGGCTGGCTTCAGAGGGAGACTTAGAGCTCAGTTCACATCCTGCCCTCTGGTTCAGTGCTCCTTTCCTTGCTGGAGCTTGCTGTGGTAGGGTGATAACAGCCCCAGTGTGTCCCTGGAGCTGCTGGGACCACCCTCAGCTGCTGACATTTTGGGTCTAAGCTCAAACCTCTTAAAGCAAGGGTGGTCTTTTCACCCTTCCCTCTCGGCCCTGGATCTGTGTGAGCAGGTGCTGTGGGACTGACTCCCAGTGCTGTGCCTGCAGTGGGGACATGTGGGCAGTGGGCCATGCTGGAGACCAGTTGGTCAGCTGAAGGAAGTGTTCAGCTATTGCAAATCTTCCAAATTTGATTCTAAAGCTGTGTCCAGCTTTACAGCTGTGTCCTTCTGGGCCATGGCTTTGTGTTTGTGGTCTTGGCTCTCCCCCATCAACCATCACATCCCCAGAGGGTAGTGTGGGATGCTGGAGCCATGTCACTGCTTTCGAGGGAGCCAGTAGTGGATGCTCAGTGTTGTGCTCATCCTGCCATTGCTGCTCTGTGTGACGGGCACTGCTGGGCTGGGCGGCCGCCCTGGCTGATCCAGATGGGAGGATGGAGATCTCAGAGCAGTGTGCTCATTTCTTAGGCTTCCCTTTCAAGTGCCATGCCATTCACTGCCTTCCAGACCACAGTGAGGAGAGGCTGCTCCAAAGAGAGCCTTCTGCTTTGGTTCTGCAGGGCGCTCACCAGCATGTGTGTCGCATTAGCTGACCACACTGAAATGGGCTGCACCACATGACAGTCATCTGCAGTGGTGCAGCACAGTATTTAGTGTGTCCTGCAAGATTTTCCATTTCCATTTGCTTGGCTTAAAGATCTTGCTTAGCTTGCTAGCTTTTGGTTAAGACTGTTTTACTGTTTCTGGGTAAGAAGCCTTTAATAGGCATCCATCCATCTCGGTTGTAAGTGGGGACATGTCTGTGGTGTGGTGGGCTTGTGGCAGGTTGCTGGTCATGCTGAAGGAAGTGGTCTTTTTCTAATACAGTTTTTGGTATTGCCTTTGAATTGCTCTCAAGTGTGTATTTCATGCATAGTGCCCCAGTGTTCTCAGCCCCTGCTTTGCCTTAATTCCGTAGAGACATGGGGTTTTGTTGAACGGTGTGGGAGGCTGTGACCACCCATGCTAAGGAGTTACATCAAGCCCTATGCACTTGTCTCAGAAGGTGAAATCCTCACTTCATTAGGGATAGGCTGCTAAATTTGTTATTTTCAAAGGTGCACTCTGTTGCTGTAGGCTTAGAGGTTGCCCTCTGAAGCTGTTAAATAGAAGTCAAAAGCAGCAATATGTCAAACAATGCATAAACCCCTTGTAATTTTAAAACAGAGCACACCCTAACCTTGAAAGCATATTTAAGCCTATCTTACTGGTTTCTTTATGAGGTAAATAATTAAAGGAGAGAAAACATTTAGGAGAAACCTCTACAAGAACTGGTCTGTTTTGACTTTCAGATGGTTACCTCCTGTCACAAATGTGTCTCGCTGTGTTTTCCTCCAAGTGTTTGGGTGAACAGTTTTCAAAGCACTGGACAGTTTTGAAAGTAAACAAAATTAATATTTTGAATTATTAACCAATGGCTGAGATGAATTCTCCATCACTGAGAATTCTTAAATTAGTATCAGATAGTCCTCAAAAAGAAACAATTTGTAGGAATGAATGTAAAAGGATCTGACATGTGTGTTATGCAGATCACAGGGGATACCACTGGCCCTGGAATCGATGAATAACAAATGTTCTTGCAATTAAGTTGTGCAGACTGCAGTGTCTGTACATGTCAGGATCTCAGATGTGGGTGTTTGCAGCAGAACAGTCGCATGTTTCTGTGGCCCTGTAGCTACGGAAAAACAATAACCTCCGTGACTTGGTTCCAGCCAGCATTGAGCAAACTTAGTGACAGCTACTGAATTTTAGCAAAGAACTATTCACAATCAGTTGGACTCTGCTTTAGGGATAATCTCTAAGCAAAAACAATGAGCTCAAGTTTACCAGACAAATTATTTGTTACAAATGTTTTGCTGCTCTCAGATTTCTGTATGTATTTACATTGGCTGTTTCATACTCATCGTCAGGAAAACCTACCAGTGGATTATCCCACTTGGGAAAACCATAAACGTTATTTTGGTTTGGGATGGAAAAGGGAGTAACCTTCTCAGAGCAATTCATTGTATAAATAGTGTCAGCTCAATAATACCTGCCTCTGTGATCAATTTTTGGTATCAGTAACTGAATTTTCTAATTTGTGTTTATGTAAAGCATCTGTTCGTCTCCCTCCTGAGCATGAGTCCCTGGGGGTTTCCATTTGACAATGTGGTCTCTGTATATGAAAAACTGTTTACTTTGCTTTGCAAGTTAGAGGTGAAGCAGGGCAATTTCACAATTGTGTTCCTGTGCTTTTCATTAGCTGATATTTATGTCCGGTAGTTCTGTTTATATTGCCAGATCCTGACCTGTCCATCTCCATCTTAGGTTTCTGTGACCCTGAGTTAGTTACAATAGGTAGTAGTATTGGCAGAGTGGTAGAACTCTGAAGGAAGAATATGAAAACTAAATGTACTTCAAGGGAAGGTAATGGCACATTGTTTTTTCTTTTGTAATAAAAACCATTAAAATAGATTTTGGAATCTCCTTCTCTGTAGATATTTAAAAGCCACGAGGACACAATCCTAAGTGTTCTAGGGAGCCCTGCTTGAACAGGGAGGCTGGACTAGCTGACCTCCAGTGGTGCTTTCCAGCCTCTCCCATTCTGTGATTCTACTTCTGCCAGTGAATACCTACATGAATGTACCTTGATTATAGATAAATGATAGGAACAGAGAGGACATTCTGTATTCCAGCAGCGTTAAACAATAGAAGGTGGTTTTCTCCTGGCACCTAATTTAAAATCTAAGAAAACTGTAGTAAAGAAAATAATAATTTCATTTATTAGAAATGAACAGAAATTGAATTTATGCACTTTCAAGGTTTGAAAAAAAAACAAGCCCAAGATTTATGGGGTTGATGGCATCCTTTTAGTTTGTTGAAGTACAGACAGCTTTGCAAATAGTCACAATCCTTGGGGCTTCACAGCAAATTGCTGTATTAATGGAACATTTACACATAGGTACAAGGCAGCCTTGTATATAGCAGCGTGGTCTAGGTATGCCAGACAGCTGTGTGTGAATAGTCTCAGCTATGTATTTATTTGAGTATAGAATACCATTATATTTCCTGTATAGGTCAGTGGCATATAAGCAATAGGAATTTTATTCCTCATGATGTTCTGCAGTTACCAGATGTTTGTAAACTCTTGTAAAAAAAAAAAAAAAAAGTCAATATTGGTTACTTTTCTATTGCAGGTTTTTTTTTACCTATCTTCTTCCACACAGTGCTCCATCCTCACTGAGACCATTGCTGGATAAGATAGTCAATGCAACAGGTAATCACAATAAACATGGTAATGCCAAGTAGTTTTTTAGTGTAACTATTATGGTTGGGAGGGGAGGATGCTGCTTTTATGCTCACTGCAATAGAACTAGATTATTTTTCTATCAAGAATGAAATTGCTCCCATACCAAGAAGGCAAGAATGGGCCCATACATCAGAGAAATCCCATTTTTAGATTTTATCTAGGCTTCACAGAAATATATGTTTCATTCTGACACCTCAGGGTGAATTGTATCAGAAGGCAATTCCATGTGGGGTCTGGAAAAACTTCTGTCCCTGGAAAGGGAAATTTTAATCATAAAAACCAGGATACTTTCTCATTGTCAATGATATCAGTGGTGTTTTATACCTCAGAAGCCAGCGGCACAAATGGCATTTCCATAGATCTTCACTACCAAAGTAGTGGCTTTGAGACAAAAGTAGTTGCCTGTGACACTGATTTGAGGTTTTTCAGTGCCTTGCTCCATGTGTACATCTGAAGGGAAAATAAATGATGCTGGGCTATAGCTAATGAGCCAGCAAAGCTTTGGAGCTCCCTGTACTGGCTGATGTTGATCCCTTGTGGGGAGCTCTCCTCAGTGTTTTGTGCCTGCAGGCCTGGGGCTACCAGCTGGACGAGCCAGCCTCTGGAATGCCTGGGCCATGTCAGGTGTGAGACTTGTAGGAACCTGTAGGAACTCAGGGATTTCCTGCTCACATCACCACCCTGCCATGGAGCAGGGCACCATGGGACTCCCAAACTTAGGGCTTCATTCAACTAAAACCTTGCTTTGTCCTGTGCAGGATGTTCCTCATCTAAGTCATTCTTTTCCTCTGCTTTTTTAAAGGAGAACTGCACTGGGGAATAGATGAGACAGCTGCTCAGCTGGAGAGAGTTTTGGATCTGTATAAGAGTGGGGAGTACCTGCAGAACACAACCCGGGTGCCAAAAGCTGGTAAAGTCATCTTCCTTGAAACTAAAAATCTGAGATTTTGTTATTGTTGTGGGGTTTGCAAGGGCTAATGTGCAGAAAGCAAAGCTTGGTGGTCCTTGAAATCATGCATGTGATAATATTTTATCTGCTTTTTGCTTCCTGGGAGCCTCCTGTAACTCTTCTCACTCTGTGATGTAGCTGGACATCCATAAGTGTGAGCAGGCTGTAATGGGAATAAGGAAATCCAAAGGGAGTTCTCCATGACAGATTTATGGAAAACATGTTTCACCACATCCACACACTGCTGTTGTAGTACCAAAACCTGCCTGAACCTATATTGGGGAGAATCCAGTCATGAGGCTGTAACCCCCCATGGGCTTCCTGGGACTTTAAATGAATTTCTTGTTACATAAGTGTTTATTGATTGGAAGACTAAGAGGAAGTAAATTAGTACTTCCTTTGCAAAGGAAAAATAGTGTGTCCCTCATCTTCTGCCAGCAATAGAATGAAAAAATAGAAAAAAAGAACAGGATGAAAACAAGGCTGAATAACAGTATCTTTTTCATAACATGTCTCTATGCTATTCAAGCTGTGGTGCATGTTCTTCCTAGAAGGACAGCTGTGGAATTGTACATGTCAAAGAATATTATGTGTGCTGGAAATGACTGTTAAGCCCAACAATTGTAAAAGCTGTTTTGCAAATTATTTTTGTGTACGTACAATATTCATGTCAAACTGTCAACATAATTGACTGCAAGTTGATAGGAAAATTATGACTTTGCTGCAAAAGCTCAGTAAAGAGGGAAATATGGGTTCTAAATGAAGATGAATGTTGGCACAGGGGGTTTGAAAAGTTCAGTGAAGCATTTGCTCAGGAAGGAGACACAGGAGCCAAATTCATTCTGGTTGAGGCTCTGTTAACCTCAAAGGGCCATGATACCAGGGATGAATTTGACCCACTTATCAGAATAATTCAATATTTATTTTGTTGTAAAATTGGCAGAGAAATTGTTGCAGGTGTTCATTTAACTTTCTAATTTTCAGCTTTTCATCACATCTGTGGTGAGTGATACCTGTCAACACATCAAAATTATTTTCAGCAGTACAATCAATAGTACAAACATGTCCTTTGTTGAAGAAGTGCCAGGAGAACTGAAGTTGTTCTGTGATGCTGGTTGATTCCAGGTTTCACTGCTGAATCAGGATGAGGTGAAGGTTTTGAATTTTAGATATCTGTCATGTTTATAAAGACTCACAAGGAGAGAAGCTTTGGACAGCAGGAGTCAGAGTATCAGTGCAGGTTTCCATCGATACGAAGCAGAGCTCTGTGTATATTTAGCTACTGTAATAATTACACATTTTTGTGTTAATTTAATTCTGTAGAGTCCTTGATAATGTAACACAGAATCCACTGCCCCCATGTTCATGGTGGTAATGCCCTGCTCTGCAAGGAGCCTGTTTTATCTGCAGGACACTGCTAATGGACTTAGGCACTTAACAGTGTGACCAAAGATGTTGAAAATCTGTAGATGCTTTATGTAACGTATTGGATAATGTACATTAAATACTCTAAGTGTAATATTGAATTTCTTGATAGGAAAATGTTCTCAAACAGGGACAAGCCTGAGGAACTGGATATGTTACTAGAAATTACACTTAGATTAGATGTGTTCTCAGACTTAGCTGCCATGCCTTTAAGATGTGCAGGCCTGTTTCTAGTTTGTTTTAAGGGCACATTAACCAAACAGAAAAGGTGTTGTAATCTATTTCTATTTTAAGACTCCCTTTCCATGCCAGGCAAATATGAAGAAGTTATATAACGAGGGCTAAAATGGGCCTATATATTCACTTTTATAATTTTAATTCAAACCATTATCTTTCCTCAACTGATATCTGATACTAATACTGTGTTGGAAATAATTTTTAAAATTTTCAATCCAGAGATTATGGAATTGGAAATTATTAATTAGAATTTATTTGGAGATAATGGAATGAAGAATTCTCTTGTGGTCCAGTGGATTTGCAGGAGAGGGTGACAGGTGTCCTGGAAGGGAATAGTGTTCAGGGAATCAGGCTCTTCTACTGGCAGGATGTTCCCAACTGAGATTGCATCCTCACCACTGAAACCAAGGCTGAACAGCTGAGCAGATGGAATATTGTGCGTAGATCTTGGTAGAGGGGTAGACAGGGATGAAAAGGAACAACTGGGATTATTTCCCAAACTGTAGGTTGAGGTCCTGCTTTGGCCTTGTTTTTAAGATTGTATGATTTTTTAAAATGCTTTCTATGTTGCTCTGCAGCATAGACAAAGTTTAAGAAGGGTGTTTTTCTGCCCAGTGCCAAGTTAAGATTAAATGAAAGGTGATTATTTGATTCTCAGGCCAGATTGGAGTTAATCATCTTTGCATTCATACCCCAATGGGTGCCAAGATGGGGGAGGCACAAGTTTACATCCATTTTGCTCCAGATGATAGAACTCTCACAAGGTGACTCATTCCCGGGACTTTTGCTCTCACAAATAGTAGAAATGACAGGAACCTGTGATGCCAATCTCCTGGCATCTAAAGGTTTAGTGACAAAATAAGGTCTTTCTGGTGCATGACCTGTTTTGAAATCCTAAAAAAACAGGAGGAGAATTCAGATTCAAGAATTATAAGGTTTTGTTTTGGTTTGGTTTTGAGAAGAAACTACAGAAGGTTCAGGTAATGGAGCTTCAGAATTTGTCTTAGGTCTTAAATGCTTGGAATTAGGCATTATCTTGGATAGACCATTGTAAATTCATAGTAAGAAAGACAAGATCATGATCTTGGGCAAGTCATGTAAGGCCATAACTAAAACATTACCGTTGAGGAAACAGTGTGTTATCTATGTGAACTTCTGTTTTTGAAAGGAAGACCTCCTCCTATGAGCACCACAAAGTGAGAAAGGTGATATTGATAAGCAGTAGGGAAGTGGCACGAAGAAAGTTCTTGTCGGGCCTAGTGTTCTCATAAATGAAGTTTAACAAGATGACATAGTCATATTACAGAAGGTCTTGGATATTAAGCTTTCACTGTGCTTCAGTTGTAAAGATTTTATAGTGCTGTAAATTATATTATGCTCTGGACTTTGGTCTGGTATCCTAGAGTAGAGGCGTGGGAGACATTTGATAGCTGTGTATGTGTTCTGCAGTCATAAATCACACTGCTCTTCATGTTGATATGGGAACATTGCAGCGTTTAAAACAACACCAGGAACAAATGCTTTTATATTCCATTGGCTGTTGGCCTCTCCTGCTGGAATCCAGAAGAATGTGAATTAAAACAGGAACCATGTATTTCTTCTGACATATGTTATCTAAAAATGATTAAATCATTCCATTAATTATCCAGATTAAGGAGACTATAAAAAAACTACTGATGTTCATCAGTAAAGTCATGCCCCAGTATCAAGGTTTTTATTACTTCAATCAAGTGACAGTGATTTGTACCAAGTATCTGGCCCTTGAGCTAAGCCCCAGCCCTTCAGTTAACTCAGAATTTACTCAGAAATGCGTGAAATCAGCTAACACTTGTAAATCGGATAGCTTTGTTATTCATTAAAGCTAATAAATGACCCATTATTAGGTCTGGGGGTGTGCAAGCCCACAGAAAGCTGTAATTAGCTGCTGTTGTTAGCTTAAAGCACATTCTCAAAGCTAAAAAAGCTGGAAGGCTGGACATAAAGCAAAGACACATTGTGTTTTTCTTTGTCTCAAGACAATTTGGCAGGATTATGCTGTATGTAAATATTTACAGTACAACAGTGTTTTGAAAAAAAATATTCTGCAGGATCACTATAGCAACCTGCTTAGGAATCTGTAAATCTACCCAAGAATTATTGAAATCAGGAACAAACTGTAGCCCAGATTCCTGCTCTATCAAAATATATTATAATAAATCTTGTCAGCTTTATATTTTTTAAAATTATTTTTATTCATATCCCTTGGTATCCCTTTCCCAGTGCCCTCAGGGCTGAGGGGGAAAGGAGCACAGGGCAGAAAGTCTCCTTTGCACCCTGCCTGGCTGGAGGGCTCTCACATCAGGAGGCAGACAATGGCAGCACACAGGAACACAGGAGCAGGTTCCTTTGCACCCATGTGGGTCTGTGCAGCTCTGCAGGGACCACAACCAGTTGCTTGTTGCTCACTTGTGTCTCCACCACTGTGCAAGCCATTTACCCTGTTCCCTGAGTAATGTTTTGCTGTTGCTGAACTTCTCCCTGTCCAACTTGGCCCTGCACAGCAAAATGCTTTCTGCTGAGGTCCTTGGTTCCCTTCCAGGACACTAAAGAAGTCGCTGAGTGTCTTTTATAAATCCTGTGGGCCTCTGTCTTCAAGCTTAAATGACCCAACACGTGACCCTAGGCAGCTTCTGGCTTGTCCATCATCAGCATCCTTGTTTTTATGATTGGGTGGACCACATTCAATGTTTAAGCATCTGTAGGACATTTTGGGCTTGTTGCCTTTGGTAAATTGGTGTGTGCCACAGAGGTGGCTGTGGGTATGAAACAGCTTCCTGGGATGTGTGGCACGAGGCAGGAAAAGTGCTCCAGCTGTGTCATATTAACAGGAATAAAATGTAAGGGAACATGTTGTTCCTCTGGTTATTTATTTGTGTTTCGGCGACGGTCTGCATGCTGATTTAAATTCGGCTCTGCTGCCGGCACAGTGGGAGTGCACAAAGAGCCATGAGGCCTGGCCTGGCCCATGCTCAGGACACAGGAATGCTCCCCACAGGAGCAGGGCTCTCTCCTGTTCTCTTCTGCTCTGAGGGAATGCTCTCCACAGGAGCAGGGCTCTCTCCTGCTCTGAGGGAATGCTCCCCACAGGAGCAGGGCTCTCTTCTGCTCTGAGGGGAATGCTCCCCACAGGAGCAGGGCTCTCTCCTGCTCTCTTCTGCTCTGAGGCAATGCTCCCCACAGGAGCAGGGCTCTCTCTTGCTCTCTCCTGCTCAGAGAGAAACACTCCCCACAGGAGCAGGGCTCTGTCCTGCTGTGAGGGAACGCTCCCCACAGGAGCAGGGCTCTCTCCTGCTCTGAGGCAGAGCCATGCCTGCCAGGCCAGCCTGGCTTTCCCAGCAGTTGGGATGTGTCAGGCCTGGCTGAAGGCAGAGCCCGTGGGACAGGCCTGCCCGTCACTCCCTCAGGCACACCAAAATGTCAATCTCTTAGCAAACCGTGCACAGTGCTTTGTGGGGCCTGCTGTCAGAAGCATGTTTAAATGTGAGGTATTGGAACATGAGGAAAAGTTCAGAGTAAAATGAAGCATACTAAAAACATCAGTGTGTTATTGTCTATTTTGGATCCAGTGCTGTTCTCCAAGAGCTCCCTGGGAATCAGGAGGGGCCTGTTTGTAGAGCAAAACGCTGCTCAATACCACTTTTTGCTGCTATTGGCAAGATCAGGCTCTTTCTGCTTACTTGTGAGCAAAGCAATTAAAAGCAATTCCAGAGCTGACTGCCAGTGTTCCTCCTGAGACTGGAAGAATAAAGGATGGAGAAAAAGGAGCAACATTATTTTTCTCTCAAGGATGTACGTGGTTGTGTCTCTGTCATTAACCCACAGTGTATTGGCAGGTGATAAGAGAACTGGGCAAATCTCCAACAAGTAGCTGTAGTTGGTAGTAAAAATGCAGTCTGGCTGCTGTGGCTGAAATAAATGGTCATTAGGACTGATTAAAGTCAGATTTAGGGTGATTCAGACAGGCTAAAAGGGGGAAACCGCAGGCGGTTTCACATAGTTTATTATATACTTGTGGAGCTCTTTATATGATTCAGTCTAGTACAGTGAAAATGAGTATGTTTATAGATTGTAGTCAGCTTTGGGACAATGCAGGTGGTTTTTGATGGAAAAAAAGATAGAATAAGAATTTAAAGCATTGGCTGTTTTTTTTTCTTTAGCTCTTGCGCTGGACCATGATGCTGCAGATTGCTTTTAAAGATGCCTCTCTTACTTGTCACAACAAGTGGGTGATCTTGGTTTGAGGATCAGTGTGGCCATCATGGAGATGCGGCTAACATGCTAAGAAACTTCTGAGATTTTGGCCTGATCAAAGCAGCATGTTTTGATTGATCAGAACAACCGTGTAAAAATATTTAAAACTATAAAAGCTATCACAAAACAAAACTTCTGAGGATTGCCTGGCTTCAGCATAGCAAGGTATCTTGTAGCTCCAAAATGTTTACAAGAAAAAATGCTTTGGAGTAGAATCTATCTGTGTAAGTGTGAGCTCTTGTATTACCTCCCCTGTGTTAAACTCTGGAGTAAATGCACTGTAAATGACATCAAGATCAGGCTTACTGCACTGCATTTAGTTGCTTCAATCCTCTCAAAATTAGTAGATGGAGGAAAGGTTTTTTTTTTTCTGCTGATACCAGTACGGATGCCTTGCATTTCTCTGATCTATTCTTTGCCATTACCTTGATAGACTTTATGTACTCTCTGTCAAGCTATGTGTATGTACACAAAAGTGTAAATTTATGGCTGCATTTATAGTATTAGGCAAGCATTTATTGGTTTTAAACACCATTAGTCTGGAAATTGACCAGAACTTTGACCTTTTTATGATGTGATTTACTGCTGTGAGCCTTCAAATTCCAAGGACTCCATTTAAGCAAGTTCCAGGTCTTGGCAGGACAAAAACTTGGGCTGGAGCTGTCTTTAAACCATTGGAGTACTGCTTAATTGAGTAGCTGCACTGTGGTGTCCAATTTAAATGTGTAGGGGAAGCCCAGCTCTCCTGAGGGCTGGGCCTAATGTCACTGCTGGGAAACATCTTAGTGGAGGAGCATCCTCAGGAAGGTCCTTCCTGTTCATGTGAGAGGAGTGCCTTTCTTCACAAGTCACACAAATAAGGGCTAAAGGGTAAGCTCCCTAAATCAGCACTATGCAAGGAAGGGATTCCAGGAATACTTGCCTTTACCATGCAAATGGACAAGGCAGCTGCCTTGCTCTGCTGGAGATGGAGTGAGTTTTGAAGAGAAGTGCAGTTTGCTTAGACCACCACTTGATTGGTGTTGCAATGAGTTTCTGATCAGCTCTGACTGTAATAGTTTAAGAGAGGTTCCATGTTGGCTTCCCAGGGCAAGCAGGAGTGCCCGGCTGGTGTGGGAGCAGGAACCAGGTGCAGGGCCATCGCTGCTCTCCACTCCTTGTGGCTGCCTTCCATTGGGATGCTCCTAAGGGAAGGTACCCCCAGGCAGCCATCGCTGCTGTTTGCCATGCTAGCGGGGACAAAGGCTGCCTTTCTGCGTTCCCCTCACTGCATCCTCCCCTCCCTGTGGGCAGCACAGTCCCCAGATTGCAGGTATCCAGTGGCTCCTGCCAGCTGGAGGTGCTGTCAGAAGCTGCCCTTGTGGAGCCCAGCCAGTGTGACTGTGTGCCTTCCCTCAGATTCTAGTGGCGGTGTTTCCACCCGCGTGGTGCTTGGTGATCTCCCAGCCAAAGGAAAATGCTCTTTGCATCTGTGTCACACTGCCATGTTCCTGGTACTTGTTCCCATGAGTCATTGGAGATGGTTTTGGCTTTCCTTCATGTCAGAACTGGCAGGGAGCAGCAAGAAGGGACAGCCACAGGGCTCTGCTGAGTGGTGACACTACCCTTGCATGGCTGTTTCCATCCTCGCTTGCAGACTGAAACCAGGACCTTGCCATCGCATTTGGCAAGGTCCTGGCTGGCCCAACTCTTTTGATTAATGTATCTGAGCTGCCCAGATGATTTACCAGGCTTGGTCACCTTGAAAAAGGCAATGGAAAGGGAGAACTTTATCTCCTACTTCTGAATCACTGCTGCTCCTTTGAAGTGTGTATGTCAGCTGAGAGCCTAATCCCTGAGAGCTGTGTTGGGAGCTGAGGAAAAGGGAAGCACTTTAGGCCTATTAAGAGGCATATCTGTGCTCAAAAGTTTAAATATTTTAAATACTAAATAAGGGTCCTCAAGGTGGGCTTCTCCCTTGCATGAAGAAAAGCACATGGTATGATGTAGGGCTGCTCTCTTAGTGCAGTGATGGTGTGCTGAGGGATGCTGCACTTCCTCCTAGCCCCAGTGTGGAGCCTGTCAGACTCCCAAAGTGCCCTGGAGAAGGGCTGGGACAGGCTCCCTGCTGTCACAGAGAATCAGGCAGATGCTTCATCTCCTGCTCTGTGAATGCCTCCTGGGGCATGGGGCTTGGCACAGTTCAGTGTGAGGTGGCTGTTCTGTGGTGTGCAAAGAGGAGCTGTGGATAATCACATTTTACATCCAGTCAGCATAGCATGTATACTGATATAAATGGTTACATACAGTGCTAACTACAGGGAATGGATTTTTTTTTTTTTTGCTTTTAATTTGTACACATCATTTTACTGACCTAGGCTGTGAGGTACAAATCAATACTCAGCAGTTGCCATGTGAAGAGCATTTTCTGTTACATTCAATTATTGTTACACTCCAGTTGATACACAGAAACTGGGGAAAAAAGGGACTTTTACCTAGCCAACAGTTTGATTTATGCTCTGACTTCTCTTCAGAAGAAATGCATAAATATTTTTGATGGAGAAATGACCAGTCATAATGTGGAACTACATTTTGAATTTTTTTTTTCTTGTGCATGAATCTGCATTTCCTGAATCAAAAAAACTTTTTTGCTTTTGATTTAACTGGGACATGATCAGCTCTGATTTTGCTTCTTGTTTGGGAATGTTTCTTATGATACTTTAAATGAGCTAGGGCTTAAAATAGAATGTATTTACTACATTTGTTTCCCACTATTCCAGACTGTGTGGTGAGAATGAGCGCTCATGAATGTGCACTTCTTTTTCCAGTTGAAATATTGACAGTTTGGAGTAGCAGACACAGTTGCCTTTGACTCAGTGCTGTTCATACAATGTGCCGTATGAAATATTAGCAGGCTGAATCAGCAGAGCAGGCAGAAAATGCCTGAACCAAAGTGACTTAAGAATAGACTGTGAGTCAGGGCAGGCCGCTCTGGTTTCCATAATAGACACAATTAGAAGAAATATAGAATCTATTTAGTTTTTTGAATAGGACGTGGGGAGGAGAGACAGGAGGGAACCATTAATTTGTGTGTCTGGAGGCTAAACAGAAATGTTTATAAATGATCAGTTGAATTTGCTGATGCATTCATTAGAGAAAGCCGCGTTAGTGGCTGGGAAAGTGAGAGGAGCAGTGAACAGAGAACAAGAGGCAGCTCATAAAGGCAAGTGAGACTGAACGGCAGCCAAGGAGAGGAGCAGGCGGTGGGGCAGCGGAGGCGCGGCTGGGCAGGACCACGCTGACATGCTCCCGCTGCTCCCCCCTCCCTTCTCTTCAGAGGCCCATCAAGCGACTCCTCTTTTGTCCTAATCTGAGCAAGCAAAAAAAGTTTGCTTAATTAAAAGCCTGTCTTTTCTTCATTCTCTAAAGGAGCCAGAGAAAAATAGTATTCTCTTCTGAGGGAGAGGGAGGGCTGGGAACGCCTGGTCAGGTCTCACCCCGACAATCCTGCTCACTGTTGGGAAGTAGGACAGTGAGTCAGTTCATTCAAGTGGACGCTGTTTATTCAATGGGACATTCTTCCTGTAAAACTCCTAATAAAACCAAAGCCTTGCCTCCGCAGTGGGGAAGGGGAAGGGGTTTTGTGCACAGACTGTTTATTTACAGACGCTTTCTGGAGAAAAAGGTGAGGAGAAGAAAGGTGGGAAGGAAAAGGAAAGGAAAGTGCAGAGCTATAAACACATTTGGGAGCAAACCAGAGCTGGTACAGCCTAAACCGTCAGCTTTTCCATCATATATCCTGCTCCTAAGCTGCTCTAATAAACCTTGCCTGTTAAAAACAACCAGTTTACTGGAGCTTTCCAACCACTGCTCTGCTCTGATTTGCAGAGTACAGACGGGTGCCTGAAGCCTATATTCCTGATGAGAACTACAGATGCTGGCCATCCTACCACCACAAGGGCTGCCTCCTCTCCGTGTTTGATGTCAACGAAGCCATTGAGATCTGTGACAGCTACTCCCAGTGTAAAGCTTTCGTCCTGACTAACCAGACAACTTGGACAGGTAGGTCCTGGATGCTGTGGAACAGAACTGAGTCACTTCTTCTGGCTTTCCTAAGTGTTTTAATACAGCTTGGGGAGTGTGTTGTGCTGGGCTGGGGGAGCCACCAGCAGCAACTGGAAGTGAGGTAGTTTCTGAAGGTACAGCTGAGGCAGCTTCTCTTTGGTGAGGCTTCTCTTTGCCAGCTGTCAGGGGAACAGAAATTACACACAGGCTCACAGGAGCTGGCACTAGAGGGCTAAGCATGTGGACCTCAGGTTACCAAACCACAGGATCTGAAGTGTTATTTTTTTGCATTTTTGTGCTTCTGGGAGGTGTGAGCAGGCGCTTCCATGGAACCAAGAAAAATCTAATTCCTGTTAACCTTGTCTGTAGCTAATTAGTGACTACTAGGTCATCATGTCAGACTGTTTGTAGCTGGAATTTTGCAGTTAATTGATATATTAAAAAAGTATTTATTCTGGCACAGGGAAATTCATAGCAAGTTTAGAGCAGCTCCTATCTCAGGTTGCAATATTAAAAGCAAACGGGACAGCACTATTTGTAGTCTTATTTGTCATTCCCTTTGCCGTACCATTCCTAAGGCATGAGCACCTGAGTCCCTGAAACTTGCAGCTTGGAAATTTGCTCAGTAGTTGAGGCATCCCATTTGCCATGCAATACTTTTAAAGAAAAGAGTGTTATGGGGGCCCCCTAGAGAGGCAGGCTGGGAGCAAATAGCATTTGATTTTCTCAAGTTTAGAGAGGGAAGGCAGAAGTACAGCAGGCATGGAGTGTATCTCTGTGCTGCAAAGAAAGGCAGTGATTTTGCAGGTCTGTGGGGCAGCAGGAGCTCGTTGGGAGGCAGGAATGTGAACAAGGTGCCAGGTCACTGAGTGTGGGGAGATAGAAGAGCTGTGCTGTGGCTCCCACAGACACCAAACAAAGAAACTTGCCAAATTCAAGGATATAAATGGATATAATATATACTGGCCTTGGATATAAATGCAGCAGGTACCTTATGCTACCCAGGCTGTTGTCACTTGCTGCTGCTTTTTGTCTGAGGACTAGAAACCTTGTTCCAGCTTGTTTAAAGCCCAGAGCTACAAAGTGATCAGCAAGAGCTGTTTCAGAGAAAGTCATGTTTAGTACACATTACACTGACCAGTTTTATAAAGATCAAGTGTGCAAATATGATTCTGCTTCTGTACAATCAAACAAATTTCCTTCATTTAAACTCCCAACCCAAGCCCGTTTTTATTAGTGGAAGTCTCAAAACACTTTTTTAAAGACCACATGGAATTTGTATTAAAGTCTTCAGACCTTTCTTTCATTTACTGTCCTAGCTGTGCACAGATATATCTTGACTATAATTAGGTAAGAGTAAAGATACTGAAACCAGGGGAATTTTGGTGTCATTTTAGACAAAAACAGTTCAGGTTTATACCAGCTGGAGTTAAGAGAGAGTTCAGTCTTGCATGGCCTGAAGAATGCACAGGTTGAAGTAGAATTTGAAATGTCTGCATTTTAAGGTAGGCTAGCTTTTGCTCATCACTTCTAAATATTCTCCCCTTCCCCCTCTTTCCTATTCAATGCAGGTCGGCAGCTTGTCTTCTTCAAGATGGCCTCAAATCATATTGTGCCTGATCCTGACAAGATAACATATGTGAAGGTGACAGACTGACACCTAAAGTGGCTCAGTCTGACACGTGAGTGAAAAGGGCTGTTTGTGTATAAATATAGGCAGCTGTTAGGTAGAAGGCGGCTGTGGCCGGAGAATAATTGCACTATTATTCATTCTAATCTATAGAGTGCTAAAGGAAACTTTAAAGAAATAACCTGCATGACCAGGATGAATGTGCAATAAAACAAGATTTTGAAAATGTGATTTAAAAACAAAGCAAAACAACCCAAAGCAAAGTACAAGAGATGATACACTGTTAGAGCATAATTTTGGTTATAAATCAGCTGGCAGCCCTGGCTTTTCTAAGCAAGGTTAACATAACATTTCTGACCTATACATGTGTGTCCAGGGATGAAAGCTGATCATTTCTCTGGGAAGCCTGTATCCTCCACACTGGTATTTATTTGGGCACGTACAATCACAACAGAGGAACTGAAGCGTATCAGTTTGTCTGCTGAATAGCAAACGTTGCTGAGGACAATCAGCATTTGTGTTCAAGCTATGGGATATGCAATGCCAGCATATTTGTCAAACGGAAGGAATTGCTTATGTTTAGAATTGCAAGACTGCAACTAATTTTCATTTTTGCTTCCAATGTTATCATAAAGTTTCATTTTTAATTTGAAAGAGCCATTTTGTGGATCTAGCAAATCACATAAGCATATGAATAGTCCCACTGAAAGGGCAGGGACTTACCCAAGTGCTGAGTGCTTTGCTGGATAGGCCTGAGCATATGCTTACAATTAAGCCTGTGCTTAAGACTTTTGTTGAATCAGTTTGAATTGTTCAGGAAGCCACATCTTTGACAGACTGGCAAAGCAGTCCAGCTGGTTGAACAGTACTAATTTAATGACTATCTTATTCGTACCTTTTATCATCAGGTCTTGGTTTTCTAAGGCATCGCTTGCTGATTCTAGAGTGAATGAAGTAAATGACCTTAATGATGTCAAATGAATGCTAGCCTTAATTCTATATAAAATGCATCTTAAAGGCAGGGTGTGTCTAGAGAATTTGCTTTCAGTGAAAGCAATGAAGTAAATGCTAAAGTGACCAATGTCATACTGTTTTGTAGTTTGTACAGTCAGGAAAATATGTGCTTTTTTTTTCTCAAATTGTTTATTTTTGTAAAAAAAAGAAAAAAGATAAATAAAATTTCTTTTATTCTTGGTTTTTGTGTGTTTGTGTTTCAAATAAATGCCTCAATCCAGTGTATTGTATGTAAACTTAAACTTGGGATATTTTTTCCAGAAAGTACTGAGGTTGTTCCAGTGTCTCCCAGGGAAGGGTCTGTTGGTGCCTGGAGTACTTGGTGGCTTTGCCTATGTGGTTGCCTGCCACAAAGTGAGTCACAGTTAGCAGACAGTGGTTGAGCAGCCTTCGCTGCTCTGTGCTTTGCCTTATGCTGCTATCAGCCTTTGAGCACTTGGAAGGGGCAAAGGTGAGAGCAGGACTTGATGAAATTGCTCCTCGGGCCAAAACAGAGGCTGGGCAGCAGCCCCTGCCAGGGAGAGCAAGGGAGAGAGGGCAGGAGAGCCGGGGAAGTCGGGCAGCAGTTTGGGGTGCAGGAGGGGAGGTCTGACAGTGGCACCACGGGCAGTGGGTCTCAGGTTTCTCTGAGGTCGCTGATGCCCTAATGGCTCTGGCAATTGGCTGAAGTGAGTCCTGTAATGGCTGTAACTCACAAATTATCAAACTCCCAGCCCTAATAGCTCAGCTGATTGTGTCGCTCTGCACTTAGGAACCCATCAATCATACTGTGGTAATAAACAAACACTATGGATTCTTTTAAAATTGCTGCATAAATCATGCCAACACACACTGCACAGTTCATTGAAGTGATATGGGTTGTTGGCACTGAGGTGCTGGTATGTATTTTGAAAGTCTTTAACCTCCTGTGATTTCCTTCCCATTAAGCACTGCACAGTTCCAAAAATACTCAGCATTTAAAAACGTTCTTTAAATTTAAATCCTTTAGTTGCATTCCTATGGAAAAAATGCCAACATTTAAAAGAAAAAAAAAGGCATTCAGGGTAATACTTTAAAGCTGTAGTAGGTAACTTCAATAATTTCATTCCATCACTTTCTGTACACTGGAAAAAATGCCTCTTTAGTCAGGAATTGTTTATCCCCAGAATTAAACAAAGTTGCCAAACCAATTTATATCAGCTTTTGCAAACAGAGATAATGTAAGCAAGAAAGAAACATATCTGTGAGCCAAGAAGCTGGATTTTAAATTTCAGTGGTAATCAACTTTATACAGGCAGGTTTTATAACTCTGAAAGTAAGGCTTTCCAGTGGAAATGCTGATTAAAATCTTAGTAAGAGAGGTGTGATACTACAATAAGAGAATTTAACAGCTGTAGTAAGCATTGGCAAAATTCTGAATTTACGTGGAGAAAGTGATTTTTGCAGCAGCGGGTCTGATTCAGCAGTGCCTGATTGGCACATGTGGCATGGAAACCCTTGAGAAGCCACAGAGGAGGAGGAAGAGGAGGAAGGAAGGCACAAAGTGAGTTGGCAGGTCTGGGCCAGTCAGCTTGGGACCTGCTTCATGTTTTCTGCAGAAAAGGAATTTCTATCTGTTTTTTCCCCTAACTTTTGGACTGCTTTTTACATTTCCTGGCTTCCTCAAGCCACAAGGCAGAAGTATGAAAGAAGACACCCACAGGGCTTTAAAGGACTGCTGTCTATGTGTGCACATGCACGTGTGTGCATGTGTATACGTACTTATGTACGTGTCATGCTGAACAGGGAGAGCTTATTTCCTCCGTGAAAAACCAATTGCCTGTGCACAAAATGAAGTGCTAAACAGGATGTTGAGTTCATCTGGAGAAGTGCGAGCTGTGTGAGGCCATGGGTGCTGCAGCTCTGCAAGGGGCAGTGCTGAGTGCTTGGCCCAGTCCAGCACCATGGGGTCCTGGCTGGTCTGAGGCTCAGAGCACCTCCAAGAGCTGCCCACTGTCTCCTGATGGTTTGGTGAGGAGGTGGTTCTAGCCCCACCACTGGGAACAGGCTCCAGGCAATAAAACAAGCACTGGCCAGCATCACCTTCAGCCTGATGTCCTGAGGGTTGCCAAGAGCTTTCATCTTAGCTTAAAGCAAAATAAAAATGTGTTCTCCTATTTTTCTCTGTCGTGTCTGAGCCTACTGCTTTATCTCAGCTCATTTTTCTGAGCTTTCTCCCCAACTTTAGTGTGTCTTTTTAAGTGGAAAGCTGAGGTGTCCTGTAATCAGCTTCAAACAGGTGGTCACAACTCACATCACATCTGGGAGAAATCTGTGATGGAATTAGTAATACTGCCATGAGCATTCATTGCCATGAGACAAAGCCTGAAAACAATTGGGCCCTGTTTCCAGCTGAGAGGTTCAGGTAAGTTTGTATAAGGAGTGAAGGGGGTTGGATGGGCAGTGAGATGCTGGTGAACAGTGTCAGGTACTTTCAACATGAGATCAAGGAGTTCAGTGTGGTACAATTATTTGTGATTTGCCCTGCCTCTCACTGCTTCACTGAGGCATTTTGCTTAGTCCTTCTGCCAGCCATGATCAAGTTTCCCAAAGGTTTGTGAGAAATGTGGGAATGGTGGAATGGGGTGCAGGGAGGACAGCAACCTGGCAGGAAGGCAGCTCCTCCTGTTGCAGCTACTGTCTGTGGTATGGCAACCACAGGGGACACTCACCTGGGGCAGAACCTGACCATGGTAGGTGCACAGTGAAGACCTTGTCCCTTCCTCTGAAATTCACCTTATCAACTTGTACCAAGAAGATTTGTAATTCAAAGCATATTGAAGGTGGCAGTGAATATCCAGGGATCATATTATGTTACCTGTCAGGAAATAATAATGTGAACAGTGATGATGTGAACACAGATGTTCAGATTTAGTAGGGAGAGCTTATATTGTATTCTTTAGCATGAAATTCTGTGAGCTACAAACTACTATTGATGGAAGGGGAACAAAAAAATGGAGTGGCAAGACTGTTCACAAGTTTTTTAGAGGAAAACTTATCCCTAACCTTTTGGTCAAAATGTGAAATGGCGTTGAAAGAAGTCAAACAGATATAGGTTGAAAAGACTCATCTAAAGTTTTCATCAATCAACTGCAGAAACAGAAAATGGGACTCAAAGAAGAAGAGGAACATTGGTGGAAAGAATGCAGTGTATAAAGACTTCACAGTCATACTCTGCTTATGTTTTTTGAGATGTGATCACCGAATCGGTTTTTTTGGTCATGAAAATATATTTTTTTCCTCTTTCTGTGTTTTAAGCAGGACCAAAACATGTTGGGCTACCCTCCTCTAGAGCTCCCAGGGCACACAGAGTCCCTGTCCTTCCTTCAGCCCAGACATGGGCCTTGGCATTTGAGCTCTGACAAGTAGGTTTCTTACGAGTAAGTAAAAGTGATGTTTTTTTCTAATTGGAATGAATGCTTTGAAGAGGTGCATTTAAAAAAAATGTGAAGGAAACAAGATGCTGTCCCTTTGTGCTTGTGTACAGTCAACAATTGCCTTTGTGTAAAAGGTGCCCCACTTCTCTTCAAACTGATGGGAAATATAATTCAGCAGGAGCCACCCTCATTAGGAAACTGTCTTTGATGTCAAGCCAGAGGGCACACAATGTGTTTATTGGAAATTGTGGCTTTTAGACAAAAAATCCCTGCTAACCACAGTTTTTCAGCAAATGACTGGGAGGCGCTGAAGGAAGACTAAACTATCCAGTGGCTACTTGAAATGATAAAATGAGAATCTGATCTTACTTAGCTTGATTTTACCAGTGTAGATCAGTTAATCTTTGATTTATGTTCACGTAAAACAGTATCAGACTGCTACATTTTCAACAAAGAAGGAACTCAGTAAAACCTTCCTTTTGGACCTAAATGTTTGAGCCATATAAGTGAGGAAAAATACACTGATTTTCCCATATGTACATGACCATGTGGGCACATGTAGGTTCCTGTGAAATTTAAACAAAGACAACATGAAAACTTGTCCTTCTTTTAGATGGCAGCTTTAACAAGATACAGAAAATTAAAGACATATTATTTAATAAATAATGCCAGGAAGGCAATATGAATTCTACACATTTACACTCAGTGTTTAATAGGTATAATGCCATCCCTATTTATCATCCTTTTGCCAACTTCAAGTATGCCCTAAGAACATATTCCAGTTTCCAATACTAACAAGTACCTGGCATGTATGAAGATAATGGTACAAATTGGTAATTATGAATTACAGCTTTCCATAAAAAGAGCTAAAGGAATGCAGAGCAGCCTGTCAGACAAATAGATGACCAGGGACACAGTGGCACTTTTACAAGTGGGTGCATTTAATGTTTTATACAAGATCTTGGGTTTTTGCAAGTTCATGACCTAAGAAAATCCCCATATGACTCACTGGCAGGGACTGCCTCATTCTTGGGCACAAGCTGTTGATCATCATGCGTGCTACTATTTCTACATGTTTTACCATCCTGTCCTTAAACCCCCATGAGATACAAACCTAAAGCCTCTTTAGAGAATGGAAATGCTTCAGTTAAATGTCAGGTTTTGATTTGTACATGGCTCTGATCTGTGATTCATCATAAAACTTTGGCCAATGACAGCTCTTAAGCAGAAAGAATATTACAGAGGCAAAAAATAATGCTCATTCATGCCATGAATTTGTGAAGAGACTCTGCACTGTCTACCTGGAGAATTGAAAAGTTTAATGACTTGGATTGAGGGTCGAAGTGGCAGATGTGAAAAGAAATCACCATTTTGGGGCCTTACATCGTAACGCATGTTCCATAGCCTCTAATTATTGTTATATACAGTCCATTTCATAGAGACTGTTCTCCTGGAATTGTGTATTCATAGGTGAACAAACTCCTCTTTTACTCTTTTTACCAGCTACTAAAGAGTAGGAGTAAAAGAGAGCTCTATGAATATAACAATACCCTTGCAATTCAGAAACCAGGGTAGCAGTGGACTCCACTTGGCTTCTGTGCAGTAACAATCAATGGGGAAGAATTGGTGGTTAAAGTTAGCAGTAATTCCAAAGTGGATATTGAAGCTAACAAAAAAAAAATCACTGGATGGCAAATATGTCTAATTCTAAAAGTAATAGGAAAGTGACATGAGTACTATATAGTAAAAAAGGTGTAAGAAAAACAGAAATACTATTTTTATAA